CGGCTCCCGCAGCGTGGTCGCCGGCTCGCTGCGCTCTGGCAGGTAGACGAAGAGCTGGAACTTGACAGCAGCGCCGAAGCGGTCGAAGAGGAGGCGGAAGCGCACTGGGCCCAGCAACCGGGGGCTGCGGTGCGGCCGCACGGCCCAGCGCACCGTCACCGAGCTGGAGCTCACCGCCTCCACCGAGAGGTTGCACAGGAAGCGCTTGTTGAAGTCGCATGGGTCGGACACCAGCGGCGGGCCCCCGGCTGCGCGGGCCTTGCCGGCGCGCCGGGGCCATGCTGCACTGGGTGGCACTGCCTGTGATCCTCCCAGGCTGGCGAGCATCGGTGGTGTGGGGCTGGACCCCGCCGGCACCGCAGCTCCTTCGGGTGCCCCCAGCAAGCGTGCCGTGGAGGCAGATGGCGGAACCCTCGGGGGCCCACGCAGCAGCCCATGGCTGCCACTGCTGTTGCCACCAATGCCCTCGGCAGCTGGCAGCAGCCAGAGCTGTTCCTGCGCCAGTGGGAGAGGGGATGCAGAGGAGAGGGAGGCGCCGTCGTGGCAGGCGCTGCCGTCGGGCGGTGGCAGCAGTTGGGCATCTTGCAGGTAGTCGAGGTACTTGCCGGTCAGCGCGGGCGGCAGGTGGCACTGCACGAAGACGGTGAGTAGGCGGCCCTGGGAGTGCCAGGCTCCTAGCCAGCGCTTGAGGCCACGCAGGCGGCAGTCACAGCTCCATGCGTTGCCCTCCAGCTCCAGGCGGTACAGGGCCGGGCTGGAGGCGAAGAGCTCACCGGGCAGCGTGGCCAGCGCGTTGTCTCGCAGGCTGAGCTCCCGCAAGCGGGTGAGGTGGCCGAAGGCAGCGGGGTGCAGCGTGGTCAGCGCGTTGCGGCTCAGATCCAGCGCCTCCAGGCTGCTCAGCGGCTCCAGCAGGGCAGTGGGCAGGTGGCTCAGCATGTTCCCCTCCAGGCGTAGCTCCTTCAGCAAACCCAGCCCCACAAAGGCATCCGGAGCCAGGTGGGACAGCCGGTTGCCGCTGAGCGAGAGCTTCGCGAGGCCGGGCAGGTGCTGGAAGAGCCCTCCTGCCAGCTGCTGCAGGCTGTTGCTGGCCAGCAGCAGCGTGTGGAGGGAGCGCAGCGGCCCAAAGATATCGGGGTGCCGAAGGGAGCTCTGCTGGTTCCCAGAGAGGTCGAGGAAGCGCAGTTTGGCCAGGCCGGTGAAGGCGCCGCGACTCAGCCAGCGGATGCGGTTGGACTCGAGGTGCAGGTACAGCAGCTTCAGCAGACCCGAGAAAGTGGAGTCACCCAGCGAGCCCAACTCATTGCCGTCCAGGCGCAGCTTGACCAGGCTGCCGAGGCCGGAGAAGGAGGCTGCGCTGAGGCGGCCGATCTCGTTGTCGTTCACGTAGAGGACGCGTAGCTTGGCCAGGGCGCTGAGGGTGCCGGGCGCCAGAGCCGGCAGCAGGTTGTTGCCCAGGTAGAGCTCCTCCAGCCGGCCCAGGCGCTCGAAGGCCCTGGGGGGCAGCGAGCGG